GTTTGCCCCCCTTTAGCCACACAGCATTGTAGAATGGACGCACTTGTGAATGCAACATGGAAAAAGACGAACGCCGCTGAGTCGACCTACCACAAGCATTAGTCCATCCCTACCTCACGCCGACTCACCAAATTTCAAAGAGAAGTCGATGGGGCAGCCGAGGACTGTCTAAAGCATCAGAGTTTTTGTTTAACTATTCAAGAACCTTCGACAGACAGGAGGTGTGGAGAAGCATCCTCTGACGACTTGTGAATTTTCTTCCAGCTCCTGAATCTGGATGTGTTTTAAGCAGCAATGCAGAAAAGCAGTTCAATCTCGATTTCCTGCACATCTGCATAAACTCGTCCAGATTCGGGCATTCAATCCGATCCTCTTTGCTAGTGGGACCCCGCCCCAGTTTCTACAGGCTGTGTGACCACGAGAAACTACGGAAAAAATACTGCACATCTCCATAAACTCGTCCAGATTCAGGCATTCGATCCGATCCTGTTTGCCAGTGGGACCACTCCCCAGTTTGGACAGGCTGTGTGCCCACGAGCAACTATGGAAAAAATAAATAATAAAATAAAAAGAAAGAAAATTGTTTTTTTTTTTCTTTTTTTTCTGAAAATCGTGTTTTCGACAGTGGTGTGGCGGCCCCCTGAAAAATACTGCACATCTCCATAAACTCGTCCAGATTCAGGCATTCGATCTGATCCTGTTTGCCAGTGGGACCACTCCCCAGTTTGGACAGTGGATTAGCTGCACAGCAATGTGAATGCGAGATGGCAAGAGACGCCACAGATCAAGGAATCTCTAGGAAGACTGAGACACACCCCGAGCAGGCTTGAAGCAATTCAAAAGGCCATCCCCCCAAGCTGGTTAGCATTGCTGTCTGAGAACAGAGGCCCTATAGGCGAGCGGTGGTTGATTTCCCCCTCGCAACAGGGGACGGTCCTACAGATCACAAACGACCTGGGGGAGGATGGGTGGGCAGCAGCGGAATGGTCCGTGCCGGTAGATTTCTCCTACAGTAAGACGCTGGTGCGGAAAGGGTACCTGCGGCTATCTTCATTAAACCACCAGTACTTGGGTGGCGCCTTAGCGTTAACGCTACGCGATTTCCGCGGCCGGCGAGCCGTCGATAAATCGAATCGACAGCCCGCACTGCTTCGAGATTTGGGCAGCCAGCGCGGCGTGCAGTGCCCAAGTACTGGTGGTTTAACCGATTACTCTGAAGTGGTTGTAAGGAAGAAAACGCACAGGGCTCCGGCCGGAGGGACACTGATTACAGTAGTCTCCCTCCCGATGGGTCTGAATTTCTGAAACCATTGGAAAAGACAGTAGTGAACTGCAGGGATGTGGGCTGGTGGCAACCACAGAGGCAGGTAATCCTAGGATTGGATGAGTACTCTACTAAAGAAGGGGCCAGACTGCAGAGGCTGAAAGTAAAGAAGTCACCTTTAGCCGTGGTTGCTAACAGACGGCATGGCCAACAACTGCTAACAATCCCATCGGAACATCTTTCAGTACTGTGGAAACAGCTTAAGCAGCTACCTTCGCAACGTCTGTCAAGCATACTATGGCTCCAGTCTATGTTGGCCACAGCTTCAGCAGAGAACCTGGTCTCAAAAGGGATGAAGATCTCTGCAGGATGTGTACGCTGCAGATGGATATTGGAGGACTCTCGTCATCTATGGTTATCCTGCCCCGCTTCAAGAAGAATCTGGGATTGGTGGATCCAGCATTGGGATAGGATTACCAAGCGGAAGTTCACCTGGTCGGATGACTGGATACTGAATGGTACCCAAGATCAAACTAACTCAGAGGAAAAGGATTGGATTTATGTCGCCCAGGCGATTCGGGCCATCATTATGAAGGTCATTTGGGACGATAGTAACGATCAGCTCTTTAAGCAAAAATTTAGATCTGATAATGCCATCAAGAACACAATCACACAGCAGATCAGAATTACTATTCGGGGTGATTGGCTTCTCAGACTGAATAGAGGCAGATACTCTAAAGTTAGGAAACGGCTTTGGGACACTTGGGGCAGGGAGTCCAGATTAGTGAAGATGAGGGTAGGCTCTGCTTTTCGCCCTGGCTCCTTACCCTAGCTGGTCATGGGGAGCGCTGTAGCTCCCCCGCGTGAGTTGAAACTACAGATCACTAGATGATACCGTAGCAACGACTGGGTCTCATGCCCAGGAAGCAGTCAGACATTTTCAGAAGATCAGCCCGTAAGAGGCTCTCCCTCACTTTCTTTTTTACCTTTTTGGAGTTCCTTCGAATTAGGGACACTGGACCCGGTTTCCAGAAGCCCATAGCTGGGTAAAGGCCCGAGCATGTGTTGTACCGGGTTGCAGTGTCGGGGTGTGTTCCCGGGCCCCTGTCTCTATTAGTGGATGAATGGTGTTTGCTCCAAAAAAAAAAAAAAAAAAAAAAAAAAAGAATGCAAGGTGGCAAAAAAAAAAAAAGAATGCAAGATGGCAAAAGAGATGAACTCTTCCTGAGGGTACGACAACCACCACCATTGGGGCACGATCCCACTTGCAAAAACGATTGGAATAAGTGTCTGAATCTGGAAGTGTCAGTGGAGAGGTGCAAAAAAAAACTATAATTGATCTGCCTTTCTGCATCTCTTTCTTGAACACGTCCTGATTCAGACACTTATTCCAATCCTCTTTGCCAGTGGGATCTGGCCCTTAGTCCAACCAGCCTTTCAAGAGTGCTTGCTGTGTGGCCAGTCCCGACAACTTTCAAGAGTGCTTGCTGTGTGGCCAGTCCCGACAACTCTTGAAAACGTTAAGGGCCTCGCCACACCACTCTCAAATGTGCAAAATGAGAATGAACTTACGGCTAGAACATGGCCAGATGCACCCGCCACGTTTTTGTCCCTTTCACTATACCCTAACTCTGTTGAAAACGTCTGACATCTCTTGAAACATTCCACCGTTTCAAGAGTGTCCTAACTCTCTTGAAAACGTCTGACATCTCTTGAAACATTCCACCGTTTCAAGAGTGGTGCGGCGAGGCTCCGTGTCGGTATGCTGAATGAGGCCACGCATACAAACACGCGCGCACGCAAGAACACACACACGCAGTCACGCAGTCGCTGAAAGTCAGACGAAACAGTCTGGCACAGTCAGGCTTTTTTTGAGTGTACAGCGAATATGACAACAGGCGTTCAACCTCCTGATGAGTCGGTGAAAGTCCAACGAAGCACTCTGGCACAATCATGCTTTTTTTCTTCTAATGTGTCATGCTTTTTTGGAGTGTATAGCGAGCGAGGGAGAGAGAAGAGAGAGAGAGAGAGAGAGAGAGACGTCGGAACGGCTGCTAGGGTGGAGCACAGAGGGTGACGGTGAAATTGAACACCATTCGGGCGCGCGCGCGGGAGAGAGAGAGAGAGAGAGAGAGAGAGAGAGAGAGAGAGAGAGAGAGAGAGAGAGAGAGAGAGAGAGAGAGAGAGAGAGAGAGACGTCGGAACCGCTGCTAGGGTGGAGCACAGAGGGTGACGGCGAAATTAAAGACCATTCGGGCGCGCGCGCGGGGGAGAGAGAGAGAGAGAGAGAGAGACGTCGGGACGACGAATAGGATCGACCTGAGAAGATGACACCATTATTATTATTATTATTATTATTATTATTATTATTATTATTAATTTATTTTTTTCAAATCACTCATATATCACCATTATTTTCTAGATTGGTCGAAGTAACCAAAGCCCAAAGCTTGCAGCAAAGGGAAGACAGGGGGGGGGGAAGGTCCCACTAGCAAAGAGAATTGGATTGAATGCCAGAATCTGCAGGTATTAAAAAATCGCGATTGACGTGGTCTTCTGCACCTCTGCGTCAAAGACATCTAGATACAGGCTCCAAAGCCACTCCTCAATGCATCGTGGTACCTTGCCCCGGGACACCACATTCTCTTGCTCTTGCGTATCATACCAGTGCCTACCGTCTTCCCCCGAACACAATGCGCCCTGATTCTGAATGTATTCTTGCCATCTTTCCGGTTAGATGCCGTCACAATCAGCGTGCGGTGTGTTCGGTTCAAGACGGTAGTCGGTGGGTGTGTAGGTGCCCTATCGGTAGGCCACGTTATCTTCTGCTCCTTGTACCAGGTCCAATTTCCTGCTCTCTCGAATCCTGGTTAACTTCCTGTTCCCTTTTTTTTTTTTTTTTTTCCTGACGAGACTCGTCTACAGCTTCTTTGCGTGGAGGAGGCACCCCTCCGAGATGCTCCGCCTGGGAAAAAAAAATAAAAAAAAATAATAATAAATAAAAAAAATAAAAATAAAAATAAAAATAAAAATCAAAACAGCGGCCCCGATTTGACGAGTCCTGCCTGAAAAGATTACTCTCCCAACGCTTGCAACCAAGCTGGGTAATGTTCCCAGCGCCTCCTTTTCCGGGGGCGGGTTCCCACTAGCAAAGAGAGATCGAATTAGGAGCCTGAATCTGGATAGGTTCTTGGAGGAGATGCAGAAAAGCAGATCAGTCACGGTTTTCTGCATCTGTTCTCATACACGTCCAGATTCAGGCATTTCAAGCCAATCCTCTCTGCCAGTGGGACCTCGCCCCGGGTTGGGTTGGTGGAGGCATTCCCGGCCTCCCCCTTCTGCTGGGGTGTAAAAAAAAAAAAAAAAAAGACGGGAAAAGAAGCGGGATCCATGAAAAAAAAAACGTAGTACTGTCGGATGTTCGGATCTGGACCGAGTTCCACTTGGTCCCATGCTTCATTTCTGACCGACGATCGTCATAATCTACGGTTGGAAATCCAAAATTCGTGTAACTTGGATTTAGCCCCCAGGGAAATCCAGTGCCTTCTGATCCAGCCTGCAAAATGTAATCCCAAGTGTGCAGTGAAGAGAAGGACATACGTACCGTTTCTCAAGAGCATTACATTGCACACCGCCCCCCCACAAAAAAAAAAAACAAAAAAAAACAGAGACATTGCCTATTAGCTGGAGGAATTGAGAAGGTGTTTGCGAAAATTATGAGGCTAAATGAGTGCGCGGGAAGCGTTAGCAGAGACAGAGAGAGAGAGAGAGAGAGAGAGAGAGAGAGAGAGAGAGAGAGAGAGAGAGAGAGAGAGAGAGAGAGGACTAAAGACGAGGAGGGAGTGGGGGAAGGAGCGGTAGGAGGAGAAGTAGGCGGAGGAAGAGGAGGAGGTGGGTGGGTAGAGATTCACTTTCTCAGCATTGCTGCGGAAGGAAAGCGTAGTACAGCTGCGCTGAGAGGGTTGAGGAAGAAGACGTCGCAAGCTTTTGGATATGGCGGCTCGGCGGGAGTTCGTGTGTTCATCGGCTGCAGCGATGGCTTTGTGGGTTTTCCTCTCTCTTCTTTGCGCATTTTTGTCGACGGAGGTGCACGCCATTGGATGCCCTGCCAATAGCTCTGCAGACTCGTTGCGTATCGTCTCGGAGTATATGATTCATCGACCGAGTGATAGCTTCGGTCCGCTCTTCTTTGATGAGCAGAGAAATGTTCTTCTCTTCACCGTCACGAATGAAGTCTGGCGCATTCCAATAATGACAAACTCCTCTGAGGTAAAACTGTTGCCGCCATAGCTTCTTTTTTTTTTTTTTGCCCCTGAGTCGCCATAGCTTTTTCTGTGGCCATGGGGAAGGGATGGGCACAAGCCACGCTGGCGCATTCCCTTCACAATCGCCGAAGCTTTTTCTGAGTCTGACTCACGTTTTCTTTTAAATTATTATTATTTTTGTGGCCTCCTGACTCACCTTTTCTTTTAAATTATTATTATTATTTTTGTGGCCTCCTGACTCACCTTTTCTTTTGAATTATTATTATTTTTGTGGCCTCCTGACTCAGCTTTTAAGAAAGTATTTTGGGCTGAGAGCACACGTTAGTTTTGGTTTGGTGGGTGTGTGAAAAAAAAAATTCGTGTAAGCTGCTGACGTGTGTGCTCAGCCCACGGTATTGTTTTTCTGTAAATTTAAATTTAAATTTAAATTAAAAGTTAAATTTAAAGTTAAATTTAAAATAGTAAAGGGGGAAGAATTAGTACGCCCATGGAGCTCGGCACACAGCCGTTGTACTCAGTCACGTCTCGTCGTGTTCTTCTGTTTTGCCCTGCCGTGGTTTTAGTTGTTGTCAACACAGCTGCTGGCTGGCCTGCACACGGGCGGAGATGGACGCCTGCACTCCTTTTCTTCACTTCTGTTTTTGGCGTGCTCGCCTTTTCTTCACTTCTGTATTTTTGGTGCTCTCCTTTTCTCCATTTCTGTTTTTTTCGTGCTCTCCTTTTCTTCAATTCTGTTTTTTTCCGTACACGTACCTGCCTGTATGTGTGCGCGCGAGCGTCTGGCAGTTCTCTTTTTTTTTTTTCCCTGTGTGCGTGTTTGCGTGTGAGAATGCGTGTGCCTCTGTGTGAGTGCGTGCGTGCGTGTGTGTGTGTGTGTTTGTGTGTGTGTGTGTGTGTGTGTGCGCGCGCGCGCGCGCGAGGGTGTGCGTGTGCGTGTGCGTGTGCGCGTGCGCGTGTGCGCGTGTGCGTGCGCGTGTGCGTGCGCGTGTGCGCGTGCGTGTGTGCGTGCGCGTGTGCGCGTGTGCGTGCGTGTGTGCGTGCGCGTGTGCGCGTGTGCGTGCGCGTGTGCGCGTGCGTGTGTGCGTGCGCGTGTGCGCGTGCGTGTGTGCGTGTGTGTGCGCGCGCGCGCGCACGTGTGTGTGTGTGTGTGTGTGTGTGTGTGA